TTAGGTATTAAAGGCAATCCTTATGTTTGTAATGATGTTGGTTTGTTCCATTACTTATGAGCCACCAATGATGGGTGGGTGTGTATGCCACTGGCTGTACTTCCTGAATGGTTAGTGCCCCACTTTTGTCAAACCCCTTCAATTACAGCTGAAAGTCATGACTTTGCTCCCATCTGGGTGTGTTTCCTTTCAATTTCAATGTTGTGGTGTACAGAGGCCAAATGCCAAAACAGTTATCCTTGTTCCAATATTTCTGGCCCTGACTGTAAATTGAATTCATTATGCAGTATTGCACAAATACATGCATTTCCAAATGAACTAAGAACAATTAGCTCTTTTATATTAATGATGTTAGCTGTGAATGTACTTTCAATGGAAACATAATTGTATCTAAGAACAGAATCCTTTTGACTTAGTCCCTAAGAATAGCCTTAATGGATACATCTAACTGGAAGCAATTGCCTAGTACATAAGGCAATCTTCAGGTTTGCAACTGGCTGAAATCCTTTTTAAGCTGTGTTTGGTGGTGTTCCACTGGGAGTACCTGCTACTTAAATCATGCAAATGTTAACTATTAATATGTGATCATTAATTTTGTGCTATTTATGAATATGCCAAAGAACCTGCATGTGGTCTACTGTTAAGACATTTCTTTTAGATTGTAAAATTCTTCTAAGTTTGCTAAAAAGCAGGTTTTCAATAATAGAGCTTTCTGAATCATAAGCTACTTGAAATGAGCTCTTTTCTTACATGAATGTACTTCTCCACATAATCATCACCATTTCCTACATACTTCTGTCAATGATGGGCAAGCTTCTTAAAGCCATTATGAAAGAACTCCACACTTTCTCTTCACCAGATCCTGACAGTCCTTTCTTCCATCTTCATTTGAGTCAAACAGGTGCCCACAAGCTATTCCTTCAATTTGGGGAAAAGGTGGAAGTTGCATGGTGCCAAGTCTGGAGTATGTGGCACATGGGGTTAGATGGTGAGATTCAACTTAGCAGCTGACTCTTGGGAAATTTGTGAGTTATGAGGTCTAGTGTTGTCATTATTACAGCAACATTTCCTTTTTGTGCTTCCAAATTCAATTGTTATTTCAAAGTTTTGAGGGTTGCAATGCAGCTTTCTAGGCTGATAGTATTGTGAGATCCAAGGAAATCTATGTGAATAGATTTCATGTGTCCTCAAAAATTGAAGCCATGAGTTTTCCTGCTAATGCCTGGGTTTTGAATTTTTTCCCCACAGGTAAAGTTTTATGATAATATTCCATGGACTGATGCTTCATTTCTGGGTCATAATGATGTGTCCATGTTTCATTGGCTGTTACAATTTTGTGAAGAAATTCCTCACCTTTACTCTCATAGCATGACAATAATTTCTGGCAAATTTCAAGTCTTGAAACTTTCATCCTTATGGCCAGCATGTGAGGAACCCCATCTTGCACAAACCTTTCAGTATTGAAGAACATCAATAATGTGACCCATACTTTCCTGTGAAATGCCAGGCTTGGCAGCAATTTCCCTTTAAGTCATCCACCAATTGTCCCTAATCAGTTCAACAACCTT